CTTATTTGCTTTTTTGGTATACATAAAGGGCAACATTTATTCATTGTTATACTGTACAAGATGGAAATAGACTGTTTTCCTTAATCAGACTCCATATTATCTCTAGGAAGTCTACAACTCTGTGCAGTAACAGTAAATGACATTCTGTTATTTGTGTAATTAGTATATATATATGTATATATATATGTATATACATATGTATACATATATACATGTGTAGATGTATATATACATATGTGTAGATGTGTATATATGGGCAAATATGTTTATATATGTATATATAGATATGTATATATATACACACATGGATATATGATTACATATACATATGAGTGTGTGTGTGTGTGTGTGTGTGTGTGTGTGTGTGTGTGTGTGTGTGTGTGTGTGTGTGTGTGTGTGTGTGTGTGTGTGTGTGTATAAATAAATAAATATATATATATATACAGACATACATATGTACACACACACACACACACACACACACACACACACACACATACACATACACACACACACACACACACACACACACATATACAAACACATATATACACACACAGACACACACACACACATACACACACACACACACACACACACACACACACACACACACACACACACACATATACACACACATATACACACACATATATACACACATACATATGTACACACACAGACACACACACACACACACACGCACACACGCACAGACACACAGACACAGACACACACGCACACACACACACACACACACACTCACCCACACTCACACAGACACACACACACACACACACACACACACACACACACACACACACACACACACACACACACACACACACACACACACACACACACACACACACACACATATATTCTACAAACCATAAAGTTCAGTTCCTTTTGTGGAAATGCTCCTTTTTTGTAACATAACTTATATGCAGCTTTGACGTATACTAGTGCTTATCTCCCCTAATATTTATGTACAATGCATCTTTTCACTTCCCAATCTGGTGGCATGGAGGTTCTACAAACTTACGGTAATTACATTATACATGTCATTGATTTTAATGCCTATCAGGCAAAGGAAGTCGGCATAGCTGAACTTTTAGCACACACTGGCATTACCCAGAAAGTACCTGCATGCCACAGGATGCTGGAGTTTTTTTGGACAATTTTTTATGATAAAATATGGATATTGGGTAGAGAAAAATACAGAACATATCTGTTGTTTACAAATATTCAACCATAAGAAGAAAATATAATAAGATATATTCAGTCCACTTACCTCTCTTCAGAATGAACACTGTAATGTCTTTGAAGCAGTTGCTTGTGCTTGAATGAAGCATTGCAAATGTGGCACACAAACATGCGCCCATTATTGTGTGTTGAATCTCGATGATAGATGAGTGAGCTTGGATGGGTGAATACTTTCCCACACGTAGGGCAAGGGTATTCTCGTTCCTCTTTGGGAGGCTGGAAAATCACTGAACAATGACATTCATCCCATGCAACAAATGCACAAACTTTTTGCACATACTTTTTATCTATTCATGTATCTGCCTCGTTTTGACTTTGTCTTTTCTAGGTCTTATTTCAAACTGGAAAAGAATATGCAAAGGAGAAGCTATATCTATACTAGGCTAACCTTTCATAAAAAAAACAGTAGTAGCTCATTATATAAACTTAAAAATCTGAAGTCATAAATTAAGCTCTCTTTTGTTTTCCTGGCTAGAGTATGAGAGACATGTAATGCCCAAAATATTATTTCACAAACCTGAAACATTTAACTAAATTTTTATCAGTCATTACATACCTCATGTAATGCATAATGATTTCGAAGGCTATGCTGGTAAGCAAACCGTTTTCCACAAGTGGCACAAGCATATGGTTTCTGACCTTCATGCATGCTTGCAACATGATTCTGGAAATTAAATATATTATTTTATTCTTTGCAAGAAAGATACATATCATTTAGCACAATATTGATTAATATATATTTATGTTCAGTTTTTAATATAAAAACTGAACATTTCGAAACCTATACTTAAATAAACATGAACAATAGTATAGAAGTTTGATTTTCATACAATATCTTCCTACAGATTACCAACAAGTGTATCAAAATATTCAACTATATGTCATGAATTGTTGGCTTGTTCAAGAAAGAAATTACCAAAATAAAAGAATACACACTCACATTATATCCTTCTGAGGTCACAAAGGTTCGATTTGGACAATGAGGACATTTAAACTCCACCTGCTCACCCTCTTTCTCCAATTCTATGATTCCTAGAAAACAAAACAACAAAATAATATTACAGAAAAAGGACCACCATGTTCATTTATGTCTGATTCACCTGTCAGGTTTCTCTGATTTTCTAGCCATAGATCCTTAGACCTCACTGAACTCACTTCACTAAAAGATGAAAATAAATAAATAAATAAATAAATAACATATATATATATATATATATATATATATATATATATATATATATATATATATATATATATATATATATATATATATATATATATATATATACACAGTAAGTCCCCAACTTAAGAACATAATGGGGACCGAGAGGCTGTTTGTAAGTCAATTTGTTTGTATGTCGAAAGTCAGGTCTCCATTACCTTTTTTCCCATTGTTTTAAAGTTTTGTTTACATTAAGAATACCTGTAAATAAATCCCAATAAGTACGACATACCTTATACAGTACCTGTAATATGTAATGCTTTTAATATTATTTGATGGTGATTCATACAACTTTAATGTAGAAACATAATTAATCCAAAAAGAAAATACATTGTAGTGGTGATGGCTGGCGAACTGATCGATAAGATGGCGTGTGGTCAGCCGAGCAGGGGAAATTTGAAGTTTGCTAGCATCTTTCAAACAATTTTTTGGACTTTGGTATTTAAAAAAATTTGTTCGTATGTATAGAATGTTCATAAGTAGAATGTTCTTAAGTAGGGGACTATCTGTATATGGCTATAAAGAAACTATATAATACTGAAGAAACAATCACTTAAAGTATAATAATCAGCATAATATGAGTACTATCCCACAATCAACATCTACTTTAAATCTTAGAGAAAGGTGGAAAGGTGTGAATAGAAGTTTATGCTTAGTTTCACACATCAAGATCAGTGTTAACACAATTACAGAATATGTATACAGATACATACAATGGCCAATATTGGTTTACTTTATTAATTTACATATAATTTTTTACATCCTGATGTAGTTAATATGGAGTCAATCAACCCAATTGCAATGGGCATGTCACCAATGATCAAATTATGAGTACTGCCGGTCTCGCCCTTTTACCCTTTTCCTTGATTTACGAAAATATTTTACGTTATCTTATTTTGCTGTTACTAATGTTTATAGCATTAAAATAATAATAATAATGTCTATAATAAAAATAACACTATCGATATTCATAGCATTAGTAAAAAAATACATTTTTCTCACCAATTCAAAGAGAGGTGAAATTAGGTAAGGTCACAAGGTCTACTAACTTACTCATTTGAGGCGAAGCCATTTATGTGCAGAGACATTTCACAAATGTCATTAATGATATCAACATTATTAAAATGATAGCAGTGATGATGATAATGATGATGATGATGATGATTCTACAGAAATTTGTCTTCTATCCAGAAAACAAAAGACAGTCGATAATATTTGGAAGGCTGCAGAATGAATATATATAAATATATATATATATATATATATATATATATATATATATATATATATATATATATATATATATATATATATATATATAATGATGATGATGATGGTGATGATTACTCATAATAATACTATTACTATTACTACTGCAGCTATTAAAACTACTACTGTAGTTATCTACAAGGAAACAATTGCTAACAATGATTCAGATTCACAAAACTATGAAACTGCCACTTGATGAAGGCCCACAACTGGGTAGAATGAATTTCCCTTGATGGGCTGTAATTCTATAGAAATTTGTCTAGTATCCAGAAAACAAATGACAATCGATAATATTCAGAAGGCTGCAGAACTTGCAGAATTTTTTTTCCATAACTAAAAATCTGAGCTTAAACAATGTGTTATGCAGAATAAAAATGAAAAATATTAAAATATGAGCATCATATGTAACTTCAATGTTTCCTTTACTGTCAAACACAGGGAATGAAGACTACATTTCTTTATTAAAAGCAATGACAGCCAATGAAATGCATGAAAAAAGAGCTACAGAAATGAGTACAGCTCAAGTGCTAGCCCTGCATTGCCAGCACCGACTACCCCCTGTGCTCATGAGAGGGGGACACCTACCTTCACATAGACCCAATAAAGGGATACCAATAGTTAAGTAGAACACATGCACAAACCTTAATCCTACTGGCACAAGATACAGTTCATAATAATGTATAACTTTCATTCATTGATATCGAATAAATTCATGTTGTTTTGCCTGGTGTTTATGTGGCCTAGACCTCACCACTAGCTACTGCATAGTTATTTGCTATGTTAGTTATCAATTTGTAAAACTGAATAAGTACACACAAAGTAAATATACAATCATTTCATCTATATACATATTAACCCATTGCTGCCGGGGAATATGAACAAAAAATAGGGAAAATGCTGTGCCTATTTTTTATACTTTTTTGTTAAATGTCTGCCCATAGATGGCTCTGTTAGTGCCTGATTTGAAATGGCAGGAAAAACGTATTTTTCACTAGTGCCATGAATATCGATGGTGCTATTTTTATCATAAATATTATAATTTTTATAATGTTTTTTAACATTAGTAACAGCAAAATAAGATAACGTAAAATATTTTGTAAATCAAAGAAAAGGGTGAATGGACGTGACATGCGGTACTCGTAACTGGCTCATTGGTGATTTAGTACAAGTGTAGCCATCTATGTGTGAAAACAATCTAACAAGTAATCTCACAGTGGGTATGGCATGGCATGCCCAGCGGGAATGGGTTAAACTGTGGTTGAAAAATTGAATAAACAAATGATGCATTGCATAAGTCCATGAAAAGTGGGATGCTTATGCTATGACTGGGTTGCTCACTGTGTGTGGCTCAAGCACAGGTCCCAGCAGCCAACAAATGCTGCTACAGAAATAAGGGTGTGTTGCATTCAGAGGGACCTGTTGTAGGTGGGTTAATTGACTCTTGGTGCCCATGTGCTTGTGGAGCCATCTATATGTATATAAAATAGTGAAATTGAACCATACTGGGCCTTGTTCTGACATCAGTGGGTTAATGATATTTCCATTTTACTACTTTAACCACAAACATTTCTTACGATGAATGTCCTTAGATATCTTACCTAATCCTGTGTGTCCTGTATCTTGTTGGTGAATGTTGATATCTTCTCGAGTAGAAAATCTATCTTTACACATCTCACATTGCAGAATCACCTGCTTGTGAAGGCGACTGGAAAAGATTGACCATACTTCTAAGAATCAAAATTAATATGAAAACTATTAAAACATTTAACCACTTCCTTGAAAACAATCTGACAATCTGAACAATTACTAAACAACTCATCCAAAAATGCAGGACAAAAGTAAGGACGACTCACGTATGGAGAAGATATCTTCCCTTATGAAGAAACCCTTTGCCACATATGTTGCATGACCATTTTGCCTTCTTCTTGGCACCTCGCTTCTTTTTGAAGAGTGTAGGCTCACTAAATGCAGCTTTGGAAGGCATATTGATGGACTCTCCCATGCTGGTAATCTGAGACGGATATTCTTCATCTTAATTGGTGTGTCCTCAGGATATATGGATTTCTTACAAACAAATAAGATATTGGCATACATTGTGCTAAATGTACTTAATATTATACTATGCACATCATTTGTTTTCTCTTTGCTGTTATCAAGGATTTTAAAAATGTATTTATGAAAGGTTAACTTACATGCATTTTTTTTCCTTATAAGTACCCCTCACTAAACGTATTATTCCTAATTACATGACAATTAATGTAAATACAACTGCAATGAAAAAAAAAGAAATAGAAAAGAAAAAGAAGAAAAAGAAAGAAAGAAAGAAAGAAAAAATTGTATTAGCTACAATTTTCATTTCATCTACTGATAATGTTTTATTGATTTTGTTTACATCTGATCTCACTGTTTACCTCATTCCTTGAATTTCCATAAATAGAAGTTATTTCTATTACTATTATTATTGTTGACAATGTTATGATCACAATAGTATTAGTAATAATAATGTTCATAATAATAATAATGTTAATGTCAACTATAAAAAAAAATAATAATAAAATAATAATAATAACAATAACAATAACAATAATAATAATAAAAATAATAATAAAGGAGCAAAGTGAAAAAAAGGTGGTGAGGTTAAAAAGAAAGAGAAGGGAAATGGGTGGGAGCAGGTGTAGGTCCTGAAGTGGGAAGGGAGGAATGGATTTAAGGAATATTCAGGAGGGAGAAGGAAGGGAAAAATCCTCTTCGTTTTTTTGTTTGTTCCATAGAATGTCCATGTGTCACACTTATGATAATAATAACAATAACATTAACCCATTGGATACAAGTGATGTGACTGTCACATCATGAATAAGTATGGTTGAGGGCCAGGCAACAGTGAGGGCCAGGGTGATGGGAATGACTTGCCACGGGTGCACAAAGCTCTTGGAGGAAGATTAGACTCAGTGGGCATTCAGGAAGGGGCTCTTGCGTTACTTCATCCAGTAAATGGGGGTGGAATGTACCATCCGTGAGTCATGGCTGCAAGAGTGCAAGCTCCAGGGAGGACTCTATTTCCAGGCTCAGGAGCCTATTCCTGCCCACCATGACCACTGGCACAGGATGCATTAAAGAAAATTGAATAATGAAAAAGAAAAAAAAGAATGACAAGATAGATAGAAAGAAAAAAACAATAATGTTACATATTACCAACAGAGATAATATGGCATTTGCTCAAGGAAAACAGTCAATAACAAATGACAAATACAGATCTTGAAAAATCAAAAAGCAAAAAAATCATATGCAGAAAAGGCATCATAACATTGCAATGAGGAGGCAAGGAACCTTGATACTGCACAGGAGTGGTCCTGTGGGCCAGGCCTACAAGCCACACAACTGGGAGAGTCGCCACTCCAGTACACCCATTGGCTGGATTTGGTTCACAAGTGGGCTGAGAGGCACCCAGATCCAATGGGTTAACAGTGATAATAATAATGACAGAATTAAAATCTTATCCCCCAAAATAATGTGAAATTACATATGCCAAGTGGATGATCTCTTGGTGACTACAAACTTGTGAAGCTATTTATGTGTAAACATAATTAATATAACAAAATGACAGTGGATGGAGTATGTACAACAGTGCTAATGGCTTAATAGTAGACAAGGCCACATGCATTACCTGAACAGAGCTCACAGATGCAAGAGGAAGTTTTTCCTTTTCATCTAAGTCTTCCATTCCTCTTAAGGTGATATTACCATCTGTTAAGGAAACACTAATCAGTCTGAAGCGCACACGTTCTTTGTTCATAATTGTAAGGTGTGTGTGTGTGTGTGTATATATATATATATATATATATATATATATATATATATATATATATATATATATATATATATATATATATATATATATATATATACATATATATATACATACATACATATATACATATATACATACATACATATATATATACATACATACATATATATATACATACATACATACATATATATATACATACATACATACATATATATATATATATACATACATACATACATACATATATATATATACATACATACATATATATATACATACATACATACATACATATATATACACATATATATATATATATATATATATATATATATATATATATATATATATATATATATATATATATATATATATGTATATATATATGTATGTATAAATGTATATGCATATATTATATATATATATATATATATATATATATATATATATATATATATATATATATATATATATATATATATATATATATATATATATATATATATATGTTGGTTGAGAAAGGATCATGTTAACAGAACTAATATCACTTCTATAAAAACACGACAGTTCAGCAGCTATAATACTAACAGCACAGTATGAAAGTAGGAAAAAATATGAAGCTTCTTTGTAACCTCAATAAACTTGACACCCGTGAGTGCGTTTCATACCGTCCTGGAAGTCAACCTCAATGTTTACGGACACTGGAAGATCAGACGGGGCTTCAGAGGACTCGGGGGCAATGACAATGCTCGTGCCATCTTCTGAAACCTTGCCAAGAGCAGCATCTTTGGGATTTCTTAAACTTCCCTGCTTCTCCATGACTTCCAGCATCGATGGTCCAGACAGACCCTGGTGCTTGTAGTCAGCATCACTGGCATCATCTTGCACATCCATTATCTCCTCTTTCACTCCCGACTCATTCATTAGCTTCTCAAAATCTCGTCCAGCAATCGAGTCCCTATACCTGGTAAAATATATAAGATATCATTTTCAGCATCTTCATTTGGAAATGGAAAAGAGAGATACCAATATTACTGAGCCATCATCAAATGAGTGGCTGATGTCATATTATGATCTCAGATATTCCTTCTTACAAAAGGGAAATGATAAAGTCAATTAAACTGTTAAAAAAAAACACAAACCCACTCAACAAATAAAATCATAATCATCTACCGTTAATTGTTGAAATTACTTAGACATACCAAACTTTTCTGTGTAAAAAAAAAATAATAATAATAAAAATAAAAAATCATATTTAATATACCTTAAATTGTTCTCAAATCTATATACCTTACAAAAGATGATCGCAGCATTAAATTAAAGAAATAAAAAGCAACTTTATCTTGATTTTTTTTTCTTTTTTTACTATATCCCTTTCTGAAAGTACTAACCTTGTGGGCAGGTTTGCTCTCCTGTTAGACCTTCTCGGTCTCCCTTTCTTATCATCCTCTTCATCTAAAAGGCTAGAATCCTCCTCCTTCACCTTTTGCTTAACGGGTCTCTGCGACAGAAACATGATTCTTGTATTCACTGTATTCTAAAATATATTTTGCCTCCTAGATGTGTAAAGTGATATGTAATCCTGGGGAAAGCTGGTGTGCTGCATATCTTAAAAGACCATCACCTAAATCAAGGAATTCATGAGAATGGTGATGTTAAAGTTACGTCTTTAACTGCTGAGGACAACTCTAAAATGGTGGCACATGTATTATGATTCTCCTTTGTGTTAGACACTAACAAATACACTTACACTTATACCTAACACTTCTAGCTGGAGTAGATTTCAGATGAAGCACTGTGTTTACAACTAAATGCTAGCAATATACAAAAACTTAGCACAAACAAAATTCTTTCTTTGTCTTTATAAAAATTTCTATATAAACAAACAAAAAACAAAAAACTCAAAAACAGGGTAAAATTTTAGATAAACAAAAAACATGAAAAAAGTCCATATAACTTACATCTCCTTTCCGTGGTCGTCCCCTTTTCTTTTTGACAACCGGCTGGCCATCCACAGCTATGCTCATGGGATGGTTCTCTGCATATACTTTTGCAACTTCAGTCCCTGAAAAAAGAACGCTATAAATATTTCTAAAACCTGAAAAGTTTATGATATGAACTTAATATTATATATAATAGATAATCAGTATGAATACTCACATAAAGTGTTCAACAATTTCTTAATAATTACCGTTATGTTACAACCCTTAACAGGTGACTCATATCTAACTCAATGGTTTCCGTTCTTATTTCGAACAAATTCTTAGATTTTATTTTCACTCATATAATTGAAAGATTATAAACATTATTTCTGCAATCGAGATTTCTTCCATAAACAAATTATATCATGATCATAACAACAACTTCTGATTTACCTTTAGCTAAATCATCCATGGGTATATCTACTGAATCCCCTTGGATATTAATAAGAG